ACCATACTCCATAGGTGTTCTGGCTAAGTGGGTATATCCCCCACTCTCATAAAAACACTGCAAACTTTTGTGACTTTCTCTCCTGCTCAAGAGTGAAAGACAGAAGAAAACCCACATTCAAATGGCTTTAGTTGGGAATTGCAAATCTATTAATAAGACTTTTCTCACATCTGAAATTGTAACTGAGGAGGTACTACTTCCTAATTAAAACTTTTACTCATGAACCCACAGGAAAATCTCAACAAGCTGATGACCAATCTGCGGAGCACTCACCCCCATTTTGTGCGCTGTATCATCCCCAACGAGTCTAAAACACCTGGTAAGAACCCCAAGCAGAGATAAAAAATAGTGTGATGCAGCCATTATTCTCTATGTTTTACCATTAATTATCAAATAATTGTCTTATTGCTTAGGTGCCATGGTGCCATGGAGCACGAGCTGGTGCTGCACCAGCTGCGCTGTAACGGCGTGCTGGAAGGGATCAGGATTTGCAGGAAAGGCTTCCCCAGCAGAATCCTCTATGCTGACTTCAAACAGAGGTCAGTTTCTTTTCTGATTCCCATTCTGCCTTTTGTGCCCATGTTTTACTTCTTAACTATTTTTTTACTTGAGGATATTTTTTAACACTAGCTCTTTTTGGTCATAACTGGAAGAAAAGGGAATGTTGGGGTGCATAACAAAAGGCAATATAAATGGCTATCAAAAGAAAAATTATTGAGAAATGAAGAGTGTCAGGTGTCCTCACTGACTGCTGGGGCATCTGAGTATAGAAGCTCAGTAGAGCTACAGAAGCCAGGGATAACAATATTAATAAATGCAGTTGGGGATTGGTGGCAGCAGGCTCTTAGGTAAAAATTACAAACTAAGAGTTCCTTGTATTGCACCAGCTGCCAGTTTCAGGGGAAGAGGCTTTTCTCCAATACAGAGTATGGGAAAGTGGCAATGTTCCTCTCAAGCAACTTTCTACAGCATAGCTTCAGTAAAAGGATGAACTAACTGGAAATCAATGTCCTCTTCATCATGGCTGGTCTGCTAAAGACTGGAAAAGTTTCCTTAAATTTGTTGCCAGGTTAAGACTTTATTGGAAGGGTATCTCTAAACAGGGGATGAAATTCCAACTTCCTTAGCCTGATTCTGCTGCAAACAGTGCTCATGGTTTCAGTAAATGGAACAATCTTATAAGTGGACATTGTCTTCCTACTATTTTCTCTGATTCCACAGATACAAGGTGCTTAATGCCAGTGCCATCCCCGAGGGACAGTTCATTGACAGCAAGAAGGCTTCTGAGAAGCTCCTTGGCTCAATTGATGTGGACCACACCCAGTACAAATTTGGACATACCAAGGTACAAACCCCCCCATTCACTGCATCCCTGGGCTTTGCTCTACCTGACAGTGATGTGCTGCAACATTCCCTTTCTCAAGGTGTTCTTCAAAGCTGGGCTGCTGGGACTCCTGGAGGAGATGAGGGATGAGAAGCTGGCACAGCTCATCACCCGCACTCAGGCCAGGTGCAGGGGCTTCCTGATGAGGGTGGAGTACCAGAGAATGGTGGAGCGCAGGTACACCTTTGTCTTCTTCAGTTCAAGTAATTTTGCTCTTGGGAAAGCGTTGATACTTGCCAGACTGAGAATATTCATTATACTTTCTAATTATGTCTCAGGGAGTCCATCTTCTGCATCCAGTACAACGTTCGTTCATTCATGAATGTCAAACACTGGCCATGGATGAAGCTGTTCTTCAAGATCAAGCCCTTGCTGAAGAGCGCAGAGTCTGAGAAGGAGATGGCCAACATGAAGGGGGAGTTTGAGAAAACCAAGGAAGAGCTTGCAAAGTCTGAGGCAAAGCGGAAGGAACTGGAGGAGAAAATGGCATCTCTAATGCAGGAAAAGAATGACCTGCAGCTCCAAGTGCAATCTGTAGGTATCGTTAGTGTATTTCTTCCAGGTACATTTACAACACATAACTCTCATGTTACACAGTAAATTGCCTGACAAAATAATATGAATAATCGAAGGTAAAATTCAGACCACTCAGTGTCACCATTAGAATATAATGTTCTAGTTTTGGAATGACTTTTGAAGGACCTATGCACATAGGTTTGTTTCTCCAAGTTCACAATATAACCACAATATAATCCAATATATATGGATTATATGGATAATATGGATAATATAACCACAATATAATCCAATGTAGTTACTGGAGATTTAGTATTTACAGTATGCAGAGTCTGTATAGCAATTCATTTGACAACTTACTCTGGTTTCAATCAGTAGACAAAAAAAAGACGTCTGTGTAATTTTCTATGATACATGCTATGCCACATGATCTGCAACCAGTTTTCCAGAAGGACACAAAAACCCTCTGCATTCTGTCACAGCCCTATATGTACCT